ACAAATTCCCATATCGATTCTTGACAAAACTCGACTACAAAGGTTCTTAGGAAGTCCGAACTATGTTTTAGATTTCCGTCCAAACATTAACCGTATTACAAAACCTTTACATAATAGGTTAAAGAAAAAAACATGTCCCCCGGTCCGATGAACATACTAGGATAGTTCAGCAGATTAAAAAACAAGTCCTTGAAATCCCTTGCCTTCACCTAGCTAACCCTTCCTTACCTAAGGTAGTGGAAATTGATGCTTCGGATATAGGTTATGGTGAGATTTTAAAACAAGTATCCTTAGGACAAGGAAAAATAGTACGAGTTCACTTCGCACATTGGAATGATTGTCAAAAGAATTATTCCACAATCAAAAAAGAGATACTTAGCATTGTCATGTGCATTCAAAAATTTCAAAGTGATTTACTCAATCAAAAATTCATTTTACGCATTGATTGTAAATCTGCTAAAGAAGTTTTACAAAAGGATGTTCAAAACATTACTTCCAAACGATTTTTACCGGATGGCAAGCAATCCTTAGTATCTTTGATTTTGAAATCGAATTTATTAAAGGAGAACAAAATTACATTCCAGATTTCTTGACCGGAGAATTTTTGCAAAACGAGTCTTGATGGCTAAGAAAAACAAAGGGAAAAACCCCTTTCCCAAAACCAGAAAGCCCAAAACCTATTTCATCAACGAAAACCTATTATCTCTTGGGTGATGCTCGCTACAAAACAAGAATCAAAAACTCCTATCAAAGCCCAATCGTTGAGCATTGGGTCCAAAATCGACAAAACAGACGAACGCTTTCGGCCCCGTAAAAATCTCGGGTATGACTTCTCAATCTGTTGTTCAAAATTTAGAGAAAGGTTCTTCTCAAAAGACACCTTTCTCGGGAATCCTCGGATTCCATCGAAAAACCCTATACGGGGCCTTTTCCGATTATTGCTACTACTTCTTCAAAAATTTTAGGTTTTCCCAAAGCTGCTTCCTCACAAAATACTCGGATTATTTCGTACAAAAAACTTTCAAAAAATCCGAGTCAATCTATTTTTTTAAACCATCTTCACAAAACGTTTAAATGAAATACAAAATTGAAAATTGAGCGGCAGAGCTGACCACGGAGATGCGGATAAACAAAGACATAAATACAAATTAAAAATAGGTGGCGAGCCAACCATTAATTTGTAGAAATAAAGAATTATAAAAGAAGAAGATAGATAAACATAAATGTAAGAAGTTTTATTTAATATATAAAATAAAATAACTTATAATGGACATGCGAAGCAAAATTACTATCCGAAGTTTTGATGTTTTGTTTGATACGAGTTTTCGAGTCTTGAGAGAACAAAATTACGGAGAATTCTATTCTAGATAATATCCGAAAAACTTGGATTTCCTACAATAAGAATGAGCTTCCTATTTATAAAAAGAAAGTTGTCTTGAACATAAACTTTGAACGAGTGTCTTCACATGTTGATGAACAGTAAAATGTCGAAAGTTATTTTGTCTTGATTTGTCACGTGGGATGAACAATGACTGGTTTTGTTTGAGAGTAGGAAATTGGGGTTCCAGTTTGGGTTTTGTAGACGTTAGCATCCATGGTCATTTGTTGGAGTAGGTTATAGATATTCTACTCCGACAATCCATCTATAATCCATTTATAAATGAAATAGGTATTAAACCTAGGTTGTACTAACTTGTTTGACATTTTTCCTATGTTAGGGGCAATGATAATAGGCAATGGGTTTTTCCAATGAAACTTATATATATATATATATATATATAATGTATTGACTTCTATCACATAATTTTTTGTTTTAGTCACAAATGCATATTTTTAGTGATTTTAGGTGACATTAGTTTTATCGTGTAATCATTTGAGTCTTTTCTACTGATTTCTATTTTTTAAAGTCTGTTTTAATCAATTTTGATCATATACCATAATATTTAGTTTATTATTTTTAACATTTTATTTAGTCAAAATTATTATTTAAACAATGTAATCCATTTTTTTTTTTTTATGATTACTCGAAACATTTGAAACTGTTGGGAACAAATTGAATGTCATCAACTTAATATATATATATATATATATATATATTCTCAAAGGAATCGAAAGCCAAGAATTGAAGTGGCACTAGTATAAAGTTGTGTGTTATTTTCAAATTTGAAGAATATAATTTATTTATTTTAACAAAAGTAGCATAATACCAAAAGAAAAAGAAAAGAGTGGAGTTTTCCACGTGACAACATTATTCTCCGAAAGACCAAGTAAATCTATCATTTCCATTTGCGCAATGACAGCGATTTTTAAGAAATTTCATGGTACTCTATAAATAATTATTAATAGTCACTCCATATAAGAGAGAGAGAGATAAATATAAAGAGAAGGGAGAAATTTTTTTAAGAAAAAGAGAGATAAATATAAAGAAAATAGAGAAAAAAAAAAGCTCAATTTATGATTTATATTATTCTCTTACATATCCCTTTAAATGAAAACTCAAATATTTGGATTTGAAACTTATACATGTTCATATTGTCTTGCATTATTTACAAACAAAAGTATTCGATTATTGAAAAAAATCAATATATTTCTATTATTGAACGAGGATGAATAAAAATATTTAGATTTGAAACTTACACATGCTCAATATATAATTTATATTATTTTTCGACATATCTCTTTAAATGAAAACCCAAATATTTGGATTTGAAATTTACACAAGTTCATATTGTCTTGCATTATTTACAAACAAAAGTATTTGATTATTAAAAAAAAATCAATATATTTCTGATATCGAATCAGGATCAACTAGAACAAAAATAAAGTATTGGATTTTGAACTCGGAATCATTTGGTCAATTAAGTTCTAATACTATGTCAAAAGATTATTTTAATTAAAAAATTTTAATTGTTAGATGAGGATTATGATATGATTTATATTATTGTCTGATAAGATATACTTTTTTTTATGTTTATTTAAAAAAAAAAATAGATGAAGAGAATGACTATTGTTTTGAATATTTTAAAATTTCTTGTGATTTTCTGTATCTTAGAATCTGTTGCTGAAAATGTTTTGGGCAACCGGTTTTATCAGTTTGCATCACACGCCCACTTAAAACGATCGGCCACGTGTTAAGTCAATGGCGACGGCAATTAAATGAAGCACCGGCATTGTAAGGCAACGGGCTTTGGGGAATTCACCTTTATGTAAGGCAACGGGCATTCTACGATGCCGTCGCTATTCATAAATGAGAAGGTTTTTTCAGCATGTCTATTTAGGTGAAAGGGCTGCTTATTGGACTGGATTGGAGTCGTGAGTTTAATTTCAATGCATTACAACGTACCGACAATACCATATGGTTATAAACCAAAAAATAAAAACTAAAAATCAAATTATTGGATTACGAGTTCTTTTTCTTGAAAAAGAAAACGATGGATCATGAGGCTCCCCATATGCAGCGAAATTTCTAAGTACTCTTCTTGAAATTTGTATAATAAGGACAGCAACAGTTGGGAATTAAAGATGAAGAAAAAAGAACGAAAGAGAAAAGCTTAATAAAATCGCTGGAGCGGGACCTCTGCTATTTTCCACTAGAAAAATAAATAAAACGCCCCACATCATTAAGCACGTGGTGACAAAACCCAGAGTCAATTAGAATTTAGATGAGGGTAGGTTGGTCGATAACTAAGAAATAAAAATAAGGGAATCGCATTTGATTTGGAAGTCTTAAATTGGTGCAAGTGTTATACAAGAGAAGGAAAAACATGATAAGGCACATACAAGCATCCGATTCCATAAGGTTGTGAAGGAGAATTCGAGTTAATGGAGGAAAAAGAAAGTTACTTTGTGTCTCATCCATCCATGGGAAAGAAAATTCGAAATGTTTTACACCATCTGGCAGCATAAGTTCCTTTAGAATCTCGAGAATAATATTTCTATCATGATTGTCCTCTCCCCCCCCCCCCCCCCCCCAAAAAAAAACTTGATATCTTTGTCCAATAAGATCATAATTTTAAATAATAATCATTACATTATATAATAATCATCATATAATAGTTTCAAAACATTTTATTATCATTATTTTAATATTATAATAAACCGTAATTCGGTATTATAATCATATTTTAAACCTTTAGCGATTTAAATTTATGAATGGGACACACCTGGGCCTTCCTACGTAACTGCCTATTGCGGGAAACTATTACTCATGCTTGTTGTGGACAGTAGGTTTTTGTTTATTGATATTTTGATTTTGTGAACAAAACAAAAAAAAATGGAAAAAAAAACTGTTGCTGCATATTACTCTGATTAAAGTTAATTAGATACGAACAGATTGATAGATTACTATTTACTCCCTCTACTATTCTTAGATGCAGATAGAGATTGATTCAAAGGTTCGCATTTCTACAGCCAAATTTCTTATTTGTACGACGTGTTTCAGTTTCATCTCAAATTTTTAGTTTTTATCAGTTATTTCCCTAAACATTTAGTATAGTTTCAATTTTCTATATATATCCTTAATTTCAGTTAGTACTAGTTGGAACTATTCATAGACCACATATTTAGTCCTATGCACCTGTAGAAAAGGCCAATCATTCATCAATGAACCGCTGGAAAAATGGAACAAATTCTAGAATGCAAATTAAATATTTAGTTTGAAAAATAGTATGAGGGAACAGGGTGCTTTCACGGGCGAAAAGTCATATATGGTTCATGTTGCGATGACATTGGAAATCAAGCAAAAAGTCTCACTCCACTTTATGGTAATCCATAGTATAAAGTCGTAATTTCCTCTCCACTCTTGCAATTGTCGTCATACCCCCTTACATCAGCAAATCAAGAAGTGAATAATTCCATGCGACGCGTACATCGTAAGACATTTATGGATAAGTAAATAAATAGCCACAACCGTATGCAAAGTTACACACTCGCACAGTTACACACTCCATACCAAAACATAACAAATCCATAATCCTACCTTAGCTCAAGCTCCATCTTCAATGGCCAATGCAATCTCCCCACCCAATTTATATGACAAAGTTGCTCTTAAATACTCTATACACAGAGCCTTCGATGTTACTATCTTCGTCCTTCTCATCTCTCTCCTCTTCTATCGTCTTCTCAATCTCAGCAACCATGGATTTGCTTGGCTTCTTGCTCTCCTATGCGAGTCATGCTTTACCTTCATCTGGGTTCTCACTCTCAGTACCAAATGGAATCCAGTGGAATACAAAACATACCCAGAACGCCTTTCACAAAAGTAACACCCTTTTTTCTTATATAAACAATACCATGCCATTTTTAATTATAATAATCTCATGCTAATTGCTTTCATGCATATATTCATGTTCTGAAGTTTATTGATGTCTTTTTTTTCTTTTGAACATTTACTAGGGCACAAGAGCTTCCTCCTGTGGATATATTTGTTACAACAACAGACCCGGTACTGGAACCACCAATACTCACTGTAAACACAGTCATATCCTTATTGGCAGTTGACTATCCAGTCGATAAACTAGCTTGCTATGTATCCGATGATGGTTGCTCCTCTATCACCTACTATTCTCTTGTTGAAGCATCCAAGTTTGCTAAGCTTTGGGTCCCATTTTGCAAGAAGTATAATATTCAATCTAGAGCTCCTTTTAGATACTTTTCTAGTGAGCTCAGTTTAACCAGCAATTGTAATTCCTTGGAATTCCAGCAAGAATACAACATGATGAAGGTAATTTTCAACTTGGGAATTGATTCATTCTGTCTCGAATTTGTCATCTTTACTGTGCTATTTTTTTCCCCTCTTTTTTCAGGAGTATCACCATCCATTAACCACGTATAACGCTGTCTACTTAGCTAATTGAGCTATATGTACAAATCAAAAAACACATTAAAGTAAATATGATAGGAATGATTTAGGAAAAACGAAAAATCATGAATGTAAAAATATAAAACAAAAATCATATATATATATATATATATAATTTTAATAGGATTTTCTCATATTTATATCATGTATTTTTTAATTTCGTATTACAATCATTTATTTATTTTTTACTTGATTGAGATTTTTAGTTTTCTAAATGTTTATTTTTATTTTTTTTATAATGCTACTAATTAATGATCATTTTTTTTCGAAAATTTTCATTTAACAATATAAAAAGTTTCAAATAAAAAAAAATCTCAAAAACTAAAATATAAATTTTAAAAATACATAATTCAAATATGAAAAAAAAACCTCAATTTTAATATGCATTGCACCTAAGAATTAATGCTGCTTCGTGTGTGTCTATATATATATACTATACTTTTGAAAAAAACAAAAAATAAATCAAGTGTGGATAAGATAATAAAACAAATTTGAGTGTTTGAACATGTAATAACTACGAACGGTTTGAACTATTGTTTTGATGTTTCGTAGGATGAGTACGAGGAGCTTGCCTCCAAAATTGAATCAGTTGTCGAAATATCCACTGAGTGGGATCTAAGCAGTGATTTTGCCACCTTCTCGAATATAGAAATCAAAAACCATCGTGCTATAATCAAGGTAAGTTCACTTGATGCTTACTATTACTTTCTTGGTGCTTTACCTATATGATGATGCTCTTTTTTACGTTGTAATTTTGGTTTTTTTCACAAAATTACTTTCACAAATTTTGAACTTGCAATCCATATATGTTAATTTCAGACAAGCGTTTTGTAGGTTATATGGGAGAATAAGGCTGGCCTTTCAGATGTGTTGCCGCATTTGGTTTACATTTCAAGAGAGAAGAGGCCAAATCACCCACATCACTGTAAAGCAGGTGCCATGAACGTCCTAGTAAGTAATTCTACTGCTACACTATACAGTAGTTTTTTTTTTTTTTTTTTTTTTTTTTTTTTTTACAAACTTAAAAAATATCCCCAAGTAGTCTCAATTTTACATCCAAATAAGTTTTTATATCAATTGAGTCCTTAAATTTTCAGAAACTTTCAATTAAGTACTTTCATTATTTTTTAAGGCTTTCCATCCAAATTATACGTTTTCTTTGTAAGAAACAACATCATTTTGTAGAAAATTTAACGTTTTTAGTTCAATAGTTTTAATAGAAATACTTAATTGAGAAATCAAAATAGTTTGAGGGCAAGTTAATACAAAAATATTGAGAGAAAAATTGATACTACCCCAAACTCTACTTGAGCTTTTCCTTGTACTATTTTTAGATCTTACAATTAAATGCTAGCTTATTATTAGTTAATTAACTTTCTCGTACGGTCATGGTGACAATTTAATTAATTGAATTTGTTGTTGTATGATAAACAGACTAGAGTCTCTGGATTGATATCAAATGCTCCATTCATGTTAAACGTAGACTGCGATATGTTTGTCAACAATCCACAGACTGTTCGTCATGCAATGTGTCTCTTGCTTGATTCCAAGAACGAAAGGGAAAGTGGGTTTGTCCAATTTCCCCAATACTTCTATGATGAACTAAAGGATGATCCATTTGGAAACCAGTTCGTAACTTTGTACAAAGTAAGTGCGTCCAAAATCCTATCCATTATTGAAGTTGTAAAAATTCTCTCTCGTACTTATTTATGAAGAGTAACAAATGATCATTTGGCTTTGAATGCTTAAACTAAGTAGTACATAGTGAGTGGAGTAGCTGGAATTCAAGGACCATTATATGAGGGAACCGGATGTTTTCACAGGCGAAATGTCATATATGGTTCATGTCCCGATGACATAGGAAATCAAGCAAAAGGTCTCTCTCCACTTTATGGTAATCCATAGTATACGGTCGTAATTTCTTCTCTTCTCTTGCAACTGTCATCATACCCTTTCTTCTCGCATTTGTGTAACCAATGTTTTTCTCTTTTTTTTTCTGAACAAGGTGATTTAGCGGATAAGGAGCAACTAAAAATATTAGGCAATTCAAAGGAGTTCATCAGATCAGCTACTTATGCATTACAAGGGAAGGCAAGTGTTAGTCCTAAAGATCTTTCAAACTTAATCGAAGCAGCACATCAAGTTGCCGGTTGTGGCTATGAGCATGGTACTAGCTGGGGCACAGAGGTTAGTGTCAACAAAAATTGAGGCTTTAATTGCTAAATAATATGATTAATTTATGCTTTGAAAAGTGTTTTTCTTTCCCTTCCCATGATATGATTGATGGTGGCAAGTTTTATCTCAGGTGGGTTGGCAATATGGATCCGCAACAGAAGACATTCTCACTGGATTAATGATCCATGCAAGGGGTTGGAGTTCCGTTCTTTGCACCCCAGATCCTCATGCCTTCTTGGGATGTGCTCCATCGGGGGGACCAATCTCGATGACCCAACAAAAGAGGTGGGCGACAGGTTTGCTTGAAATATTATTCGTCAAGAAAAGCCCCATCATTACCACCATTACTGCGAAACTCCAGTTTAGACAGTGTTTGACGTATCTCTTGATCCTTATTTGGGGGTTGCGCTCCATTCCTGAGCTTTGCTACGCAGTGTTGCCAGCTTATTGTATCATCACCAACTCGAGTTTCCTGCCCAAGGTGAGCAAGACACCTAAATGGTCCCTTTACGTACTTCTCTGATTTTAATGAAGTTGAAAAATTAGAAAGAGTTTTAATTAAAAAAAAAATTCAAATAATACAGTAACCAAATATAAGATAAGCATATATATATATATACACTCATTCTTCGTTCTGTTTTCAGTTTTAATATTTAGTTTATAAACTAGTCCACTTAGCACTAATTCTTCTTAAACTTTAAAACAAGGGAACGCAGCTTAATGAGCCAGCCTTATATATCCATGTGGCCCTTCTCCTGAGCTATGTCACTAACACTCTATTAGAGTACCTTGAAACTGGCTTGTCAATCCGTGCGTGGTGGAATAACCAAAGGATGGCAAGAATATATACAATGAATGCATGGTTATTTGGATTTATAAGTGTATTCTTGAAGATTTTAGGAATATCAGAGACAGTTTTTGAAGTTACACAAAAAGACCAATCTTCAAATGATGGTGGCGATGAAGGCAGGTTCACCTTCGATGCTTCACCAATTTTTGTGCCTGGGACAACCGTTCTGCTGCTGCAATTAACGGCATTGGTCATGGGCTTCCGAGACATGCCACCATCAGTTAACAATGGCTCAGGGTTGGGAGAGATATTGTGCAGCATATTGGTGGTAACATGCTTATGGCCATTTATGAAAGGGCTGCTTGCAAAAGGAAAATATGGGATTCCTCTGTCCACAATATGCAAGTCTGCTCTTTTGGCATTATCTTTTGTGCACTTGGTCAGGAGGACATCGAAGGGCCAAAACTAATCGCTTTCGGTATAAATAAAGTTGTTTGCTCGCATGTTGATTGAACCATTGCAAGTTTTTTTTTATAGTTTAATTATTCCAGTATTATTAAATAGTAATTGAATTACTATATTTTTCATATAATAAATAACAATACAGACAATTCCAAGCGAAAAAAAATCTTGATATGGTGTATGAATAGTAATTATCTGCAAATGTTTTCCCTCCATTAATTGATTTGACTATTAGGTCAACAGGTCATCAAGACCAAAACCTTTTTTTTTTCTAAATTGAATTTTTTTACTTGTTCTAAAAAAAATCATTCTATTTTTAGAAATAATTTTAAATATTTTCAAGCTTAGAAATTTTTTATTTGTTAAACATTGTCTGTTCACAAAATTGCAAAAACCTACAAAATTATGTCGGAGACCCTAAAAATCTCATATAATGTATTTGCACAATTTTAGTGTGATTTCTAGGATTGAATATATTATTAAACAAACTAAAAGAACTAGGGTGTTATTATTCATTTATTGTAGTTGCACCATGAACGGATGTATGTTTTTTTTTTTTTTTTGTGGTTTTTCAGATTTTTGATGGACAATAATATGAAAATTATATATTTTTTTATATTTTTATCCTTGATATTTTTAAACTTTTTATTTCGATTCATATTTTCATTTTCTAGTAACAACTAACTAAGCTTAAAATATGTAGGAACCACACTTCCAAACATTTTGAGAATCAGTACAATTACTCATGTAAATTCGTATGATATCTTTAGGTAAAATTTGAGAATATTTCAACTTAATCTTTTATTTTTCTCAATTTATCGATTTTTTATTTTTAGAGAATTTAAAAATGATTTTAAAAAAAAAATTGACCTTAAAAATTTTTTAATTATTTTTAAAAATGGATGGAATTATTTTTTATAGTTTGAATTATTAAGCCTAACGAAATTAAAACGGTTAAGAATTAAGTTCATGTTGAACAAAGATTCATAATAGCTTTATTTTCGATTGGCCAATGAAATATAATAATGGATCAAACTTTTCTTGAATTTTAATCTATTTACAAATCAGTTTTTGAAACCTCTTCTAAACAGGATTTTCTTTTTTTTTTTTTTTTGAGATTTAGTTTGCCTTTTAGTTTTCTATCTAGACTAATGGTCACATAAATAGTTCTATGATAAAAATTATTTAGTAAGATTTATATGATACTTATAAAAAAATTTAGAATCATTTTGGATTATTTTCTATTTTTTGTTTTTACATCGTTAATGTTTAAAAAAACAATCTAAAGTACAAGGGTTCTGAAAATTGCTCTCAAGCTACTACGATTTGACAATTTCAAATCCTTATTATCAATTTGGGCTAATTAGATCTCAAACTATTATTTTTTTTTTAGCAAATATGATCTTTATTCGTTATCTTTAATAGTTAAAGGGTTGATCGTCAACGATCAATCATTTGACCGTTAACATTTTAGTTTTTTTTTAAAAAAATATATATATATATATAACTTAATCAAAATATGATTTACATGAGATTGTATAGTAACTATTCGTTAGATTTTTAAATTAATAACACTCATCATTTTTTAAAAGTACAAATAATCAAATAAAAAAATAAAAGTATATAAATTTAAATAAAAAATAAAATTATAAACCCTCATTTAGAAATAAAAAAAAAAAGTTTATACATGTGTGGTAGACAGATCAACATGTTGATGTATCAATTTAATAGTTGACTATGTTGTTCCTATCACACAAAATGAACATAATAAAATAATAAAAATTGACACAATAAATAAATAAATTTATTGTAAATTAAAATAAATAAAGAGGATTGGAATTTTTTACCTTGATCATTAGAAAAATTAATGATTAAAATCACATTATCATATTTTGTGGTATAAAGATGACCGAACCACTAAAATAGTTTTACCATAATTTTTAGGTGATTGGCTCAAGGCGTAACCGGGTTGCTTTCTTGAGATGATACGCGCCATCCATAAAATTTATCTAATGCAACGAATAAAGAATATGTTGCACGTCATCTCAAGGATACAACAAGTTTGCACTTACTTATAAGACTTGAAACTCTAAAAAAAATCAGCACCACTCTTACCTAAAGAAAATTTAACAAAAATAATATGGCTTTTAAATGGGAGGATAAATAAGACAATATAAAAAATTTCTTAAGCAAATTATACATATACCATTGCTATAAATTTTTTCCATAACCAATATATCTCCCACACACTCAAAATGCTCGTAGCAAGCAAATATATATAGACAAAAGAAATAGCCGTTTAAAACAATTAAAAAATAACTAGCTAATGGCAAGAAATGGTTGCCTTTTTATTTTAAATTAATACATGACAGCTTTGAAACCGAATGCGGAATTTATAACCAAGCATTTATATATTTTTTTAATGACAATAAATGGTAGCCTTGCTTGAATGTCCAAATGAATATTTTTGAAACAAGTACACGTTACTATTTCAAAATAATAACTTGTAACTTTTTTTCAAATTAATATATATATATATATCTTTTTTTTTAATAAAAATACTCCAACAATCCCTCACTTATTTTTATAAAAATATTAGCCATATTTTCGGGTAAGAAAAAGAACATAATACATAATAAGGGTGCCAATGGCTTGAACTCTTACTTAGTGTTTCAATAACATTTATCTTAAGCCAATAGTGAACATTGTCTTGAACTAAGGCTTTTTAAGTGAAACAAATATTGCATCGTACATATTATATTTAAGTACTTTGCGATGAGTTTCGGAGCCAGCACATTAATGACCTTATGCTTGATCCCAACTTCTAAGAGTGTTCTAGAGAATTAGCCGATTCTCATAGGAAGGAGCCTCATTTCCTCGCTTATACAGGTGTGTCTATCAAGGATGCTCTCATCTCTCTAACATCACATCCAATAAAAACTACATACCACATTAAAAGTTTCATTTAAAGAAACTCAACATCTCTTTCATTATGGGATTCATGCACTACACCACGGGGATGGACATATAAATATTGTAACTCAAATAAATTGTTCATGTAATCAAACCATACTATGCTCGTTCTTCTTTTTAAACCTAATTTTTAGGATCTGCAGTCCCTAGGTAGAGTATCCACATAGGTGGATTTATTCATTTATAGGCCTAGTCTCATCCCTCTCGATGTATCATCTAATCCTTTGACTTTAGCTAAAGATTTAATCCCATAATATTCAATACACACCCAAAGGATTAGGTAACTAGCACTTAATCAATTTATAAGTGCTAAAACAAGTGGTAGAAATTTTTCATCCTTACTATTTTAGATAAAGCAAAACATCCACTTGTGTTTTTTTTTCAATTGGCTTTGACTTTTTAGCCAATTTAAGTTTCACCACATATGTACTTAAGCCAATGATAAATACTATTTAGTTTTTACATCCCTATCATTATGCTAAAATATGAGGGCATCATTTTATTTTCCAATACAATGAAAAATATTTGATATAATCACATTGAAGTGAATAGGGACATTTTTTAATCTTTAGTTTCTCATATAAATTTGACATCATTTTATTTCATCTATACAATAGGGATGTCAATATTTAGCTAGAGATTTAAATTTCTCAAAATATCATCAATTATCTTATTAGGCAATATCATTATAACAAGCATTATATCTTAATTATATGATAGGAGTGTCTTTAATTTCACTTATCGGATAATATCATCAAAACATTATTATACCTTAATTATACAATTGGAATGTCACTAATTCCATCAATTATCTCAATATTTTTGTCAAATATTCTATAAGCATCATTATACCTTTTCTATAATATGAATGCTTTTACCAAATATTCTATAAGCACTATTATACTTTTTGTATAATAGAAATGCTTTTATAAATATTTAAAAAGTATCATTATACCTTTTGTACAATAGGAATACTTTTATAAATGTCTCCAATAACATCACATTTAAAATTTATATGTGGTAAATAACTCAAACATCATGAGAAAAATGATGATAATTTATCATCATGAGAGAATTAAGATAATTTATCTTGAATTGCATAATAATTTTCTCAAAAAAAATTTAATGCAATAACATTTTTTTATGCCCCCACTATTCACATAATAATTAATTTTCTTGCTACCATTGTAGACAAAGTGATGACATGAATTATTCTATTATTTCATCATCATTATTCATAATTTATTCTTGTGGTAAACAATCAACAAGATGTATTTTTAGAAAATAATATATCAAATTTTTATTTTCACATAGAAAATATTACATGATAAGCTTTTTATTAATTCATGTACCTTGCCAATTTATCTTACTAATAATCTACTAACAAAATTATTATTTTCACAATTAGATACGGATGTCAAACATAAATTATAATGACAACTTCAATAAATCAAAATCACATAAAAATAATTAGCTTTCAATCGTAATTGATTTTAATTATGACCTTTTAAATCAATCATGTGAACCAATCTTTTAGTAATATTTAATTTATAAAATATTCAATAACAATATTTTATATGATAATTCACATTTTCCTCCTTCATTTTTTTTTTAAATTAAACACTTATGCATGGATCAATAAATATCCATACAAAAATCTAAAATTATTTTCAATCAAAAATATCACATACATTCATTATCAAAAGTGAATAAAAAATACATAGAGAAAAAATCAAAGTACTTTAATAATTCAATGTTTAAAATACTCATTTGACTTTTTATACTTATTGTATCGAAGTACCGCTGGAGATCCGAAATAATTTTTACATTGATCGAGCTTCCATTGCCTCCAATGCTACATAAATTTGATTTTCTTGACTTTGCATCCAATATGATCAATATATCCATATAAAAATATTGGATATATTTTCTTTGTTAGCTTCTAATTTATCTCACCCGAATGACATCATTATAAAATATTGAAAAGCTTTTGTATACATATTATTTATGTCAACCCGTGTACTATGTATATAT